TACTTTATTGGTAACATGTACTGTAAATAGTTATCAAATTTGTGACTTATGTTTTCCTCTGCTTTGTGGTATATTTTAATAAGCACATATTTTTAATTTTAATCAAACTTTTATTTTATAGTTAGCATATTTTTATGTCTTGTTTTAGAACTCTTAGGCATTATTTTCCTATATTTTTCTGTTAGAAATTCTAAAATTTTGCCTGTCACTCTCAATCTATAATCCATCTATATTTCTTTATTTTTTTATTATGGTGTAGGAAGCAATTTCATTATTCTTAACTATGAATAGCCAATGATGCTCTGTATTAGATAGTCCCTTCTTGGCTTAGTATATTAGATTCCTATTATTTCTTTAATAGTTAGCACAACAACTCAGTGGCTTAAAACAGATTTGTTATTTTACAGTTATGAAGGTCAGAAGTCTAAAATGGTTCTCATGGGCTGAAATTCAGGTGTCACTATGGCTGCATTCCTTCTGGAGGCTTTGAGGGAGAATCTGTTCCTTGACTCCTACAGCCTGGAGAAGCTACCCTTAATCTTTGGTTCATGCTCCCTTTCATCTTCAAAGCCAGCACTTGCATCACTCCAACCTCTGACTTTGTTGCCTTCTTCTTTAATTTATAAGGACATTGGGCACACCTGGATAATCCAGGATAATCCCTTCATCTCAAGATTCCTAATTTTGTCACAGTTGCAAAGTCCCTTTTGTAGGAGAACGTATTTACAGATCCTGGGTATTAGGGCATGGGCATCTTTAAGGGGGATGTTAGTGATCTGTACTGCCCCTGTGTCATATATCATTTAACATAAATAAGAGTCTGTTTCTGGATTCTGGATTCCATTGCTCTATTTTCTATCTGTGTTCCAGGACTATACATAATCATACTAACATAATTAATGATAGTGATTCTTTAAAATGACTCCTTGTATGTGATAGACATAGTCCTTAACTTGCTCTTCTGCATCTGAATGTTTTGGCTGTTTTTGGACTTTGACATTTTCATACAAACTGTAGAACTAATTGGTAAGTTAATCCAAATCCTATTGTGATTTTTATTAGAACCGTATAGAACCTATAGATATTGAAAATACTAGAAATTGAGACTTCCTGTCCATGAATATAATCTGTCTCTCAATCTATTTATATCCATTTGACGGCTTTATGAATATTTTTATACATTCTCTAAAGGTTTTAATTACAAACAATTAAATATATTCTTAGAAAATCTTATTTATTTTATAATGATGCCATAAATGGTCTCTCTCTCTTTTTTAAATTACTAATTATATGTTGCTGATGTACAAAAACACAATTGATTTTTTATATTGATTTTGTATAAAACACCTTGCTAAGCTCTTTCACTGATTCTAATGACTTTTCTGAAATTACTTTGAGCTTTTTAATGTATATAAATTATATAAACCTTGACTGGTATTTTGTTTCTTACTTTCTGACACTTATAACATTTATCTTATTAGGTGACTTAAATCTTCAATAGGGAATAAAACAAGAATGTGCACCTTTACCTTTTTTTTGTTATTACTTTACTATGAAATATACAATTCTTTTTGGGTTTTAATAGAAAGCTTCTATTGGTTTAAGAAAGTTTCCTTCGTTCTTCAGATGATGTGAGTTTTATAATGATTGAAATTGAACTTCATAAAATTATTTTTCTTTTGAAATAAAATGTTAGCCTTTTTTCTGTCCAAATAAAATGTTCACCTTGTTTTCTCCATTGTTAGTAGGTTAGTTACAAATAGGGGTTATAAATCTTAACCTACCCATGTATCTGTGATAAACATGACTCAGTCATTATATATTTTTTGTACATACAGCAGACCTTGGTTGTGCTACTATTTTATTAAGTGGGTTTTGTTTCATGAGTGGATTTGCTCTTTAAATTCTCTTTTCTGGTTTGCTTTTACTATGAAGGTTATATTAGCCTGCTAACTGAGTAGAGGGCTATTTCCCCATATCTTTCTCTGAATAGTCTGCTATTAGCTCACAACCTCAGGAATTTCCTGGGTGAATTTCAGACCTAGCCCCCATAAACAGAGGGCAAGAACAAACTGAAGAAAGAGGCAGGCCACTCCAGATTGGTAGCTGAAAGGCTTAATAAGCAAGGGAACTTATAGATGAGTCTTGTCTTGGGCAGCTGCAAAATGAGTATATCTCAGGACCTGCCCACCAGTACCTTAAGAGATTATATAAGGACCTTAATGAGGTTCAGTCATGTACACAGTCCAGACGGTTCCATAACACATCACTCTTTCTCAAGGCTGTGTCATTGAAGTGGATCCTACTGTGGGATCAGTGGGCAGAACATAAATTCCAAGGACAAGCGAGGGGGTAAAGAGCCTCTGGTTGCTGAAATCTAGGTGGTGGGGTCAATGGGCAATCACATCTTCTCGATGACTGCTCCAACATCTGCCTAGATTGGAGCGACTACCTGGGATTAGTATTTTCTTGTAGGACATTTCATTTTGATATTATTTTTAAAATATTTATATGTTTTCATCCTTCTGATTTCCCCTCCATTTTTAATTGAAGTGCAATTTACATACTGTGAAATGTACAGGTTTTAGTCCATGATTTGATGAGTTTTGACAAAAATTTACCTATACTTTCAGCAAAATAGAGAACAATTCTAACATCCCAGTTGATTCCTTCATGCCACTTTCCAGCCAGTCCAGTCTTGGCCTTCTATTTTCCATAGGCGGCCACTCTTAGGAATTCTAACAGCATATATTATTTTGGCCTCTAGAATTTTATAACAGTGGAATCTAACATGATACATTTTTTTTGTATCTGGCATCTTTCACTCAACATAATTGTGAGATACATCCATGATGTTATGTTAATCAATGACTAATTCTTTCAATTTATGTATAAACGTATTGATTTTTTCCCATTGGATGAGCATTGGTTTATTTCTAGTTTAATGGTTATTGTGAGTAAAGACATTCTTGTACAAGTCATTTTGTGAACATATGCTTTTATATCCCGTAGTTAAATACCCAAATAGAATTTCTGGGTCATAGTGGAACTCAATGTTTAACTTTATAAATAACTGTCAATCTTTCCAAGACAGTTATATTATTTTAAACTGCTAATAGTGGCTGCTGTATTAGTTCCACATCCTCATCATTTGGTCTTTTTTTGGTTTTGTTTTAGTAATTCTGATATGTGTATGTTTAATATTGACTTGATAGAGTTTTTTATAGATCTAGATACTAATCATTAAAATTTTTTTTTAATTCCGGTTAGTTAACATACAGTGTTATATTTAAGATACTAATCATTTCAGATGTATGCATGGGGAGTATATTCTCCCAGTCTGTGGCTTATCTATTTAATTTCTTAATGGTTTTTGGATCAGCAAAAGTTTTAGTGAATGCTGTTTGCTTACTATTAAGTAAATTTTCCTCAGTTTAAAATTTGCAAAGGCATCCTTCTATGCTTTCTAACTAGCATTCTTAACATTTTGTTTTTATGTTCAGATCTTGGATAGATCTCAAGATAAAGTTTGCCTAAATGTGAGATAGGACAGAAAAGGTTTTTTAGTGTTTGTTTTGTTTTGGGCTTTTGTTTGTTGCATATAAATATCCAATTGTTCTAGATTCATTTACTAAAAAGATTTGCATTTCAGATTTTATTACTTATGCAATTTGTTGAAAATCAATTTACCTTCTCAGTGTATAGTCTTTATGACCTTTATAATATTCCATTTATCTATTTGCCTATAGGTACAGCAATCTACACTTCAGTACAAAATTAAATAAATGTCGTGACAGCAGACATCCTTGAATTTATCCTAGATTTAGAGGAAAAGCAATTAGTCTTCAACCATTCAGTATGGTGTATTTCTTACTATAGGACTATAGATTTAAAATATGTATATAGAAAACCTCTGATTTAGAAGACAGCAACTTAATTTTATTTATCTTTGTTTTTCATTTACCCAACACAGCTTTTGGTGCATTCTATAAGCCCTTTGTATTTTTTAAATTAATCAGTGAATGATTATCCAAGTTGTTTGTTGTGGTAATGTTCCATTCAGTAGCTGACAACATACTCTCATAACTGCTCTTATTTCACCTGTTTTTAACCATGTTTCAGGATGAATGAGCAAACTGAAAAACCTCCCGGAATTTCCCATTTAGAAAAGCTGTTTTGTATTACGTGGTATCAGTGGTGTTTTGAAGTTTTCTGTATATGTGATCGCATCTTTTGTTGTATATGCGATCATATCTTTTATTTGCTGATCCTTAGAACAACTCTTTTACATAGAGAATGTAAGATTGAAGAATAATTGAATCGCATTATGCCTAATCATGAAACTTGGGATAGAATGTTACGGGCACTGATAATACTTAATAAAAATGAATGTTAACTTTTATTTTAAAAATCTATTAAGGGACACCTGGGTGGCTCAGTTGGTTGTGTCTCCTTTGGCTCAGGTCATGATCCTAGAGTCCTGGGATCAAGCCCCACATCGGGCTGCCTGCTCACTGGGGAGTCTGCTTCTGTCTCTCACTCACTCTCTCTTGCAAAAATAAATAAATGAAATCTTAAAAATCTATTTAAAATTAACCTTTGCAATTTTGGAGGTGCGTAGTCTAACATAATTGGTGTGTGTGTGTGTCTGTGTGTGTTTTCAGTAATCTGGAGAGAAAAAGCTTTTAGCAATTTTGTAAACCATAGTTCTCCCTGATTTCTCTCTTACTAGTGATTTATTTATTTGATTATGTAAGTAACATATATGACATGTTCAACATATTATTGATCTTGGCAATCCTCTAGGAAGAGGCCTCCTTTTTAAAATGGATCCTAGATTAGAGGTCTGAAATAGTTTCATGCTTGTGTCTGTTGTGTGAATGGCATAACTCTCTTCTGCATGGTAAAGTTTGAAAAGCCCATCACCCATCATTTATTTTGGGTGCAAATTATTACTTTTTCCCACTCTAAAACAATACTCTATTGATTTTGTTTCCTAGTTCAATTTTGTGGGGAAATTGCTGGGACCAAGAGGAAACTCCTTGAAGAGACTACAGGAAGAAACAGGTGCTAAAATGTCTATCCTGGGCAAAGGATCAATGAGAGATAAAGCAAAGGTACTGAACTTTGATTTTGAGTTTTAACACATATAGGAGGTTACCTGTAATAGTCAGAGCCAAATTTACAAGCACGTCTGCACTGTTCTCCCATTGTTTCCCACGATTTTCACCTTCTGGGGCCACCTTGTTGCACTCTCAGTCAATTCCTCTATTTTCATAAAAATCAATTACCCTTCTTTTTTTTTTTTTTTCCACCCTAGAACATGTAATTTTGTATCTTTATTCTCTTTAGTCCTTTGTGTAGGTTGTTGCCAACTCTCCTTACCTTTTCTGTGTCCTCTGTAGGATATTTCTATATATCTATGCTCATTTTCTTTAATTCCCTGTCTGCATCCCTTTTCTCTCTTCAACTATGTCACCTAATCACATCCATTGTATCATTCTCTCTGTTTATCTCTATGCTCCATTTCACTCTGATCTTCCTACCCAAAACAATTTCAAATACTTATCTGCAAATCTAAGAGAATTCCACTTATTTTCTGAAATGTTTCAGTGATGTTTAACCATTCACCTGATCTCAAAAGAACAAATAAGCTAAGAAATATATGAAGTTTGATGTTTGAAATGATTTATTTCACATCCGAACTACATCATTTTCCCATTTTATAAAGTGATAGCAATTTTCTCTGTGTTAGAATTCATTGTTTTGGAAAATAACAACCATTTTTAAAGATGTATTCATAAAGGTCTTTTAAAATTCATTGAGAAAGGGTGGATGTATCGAGGTGGTCCTATTTGACCAGGCCATGCTTTTCTCATTCAATATGTTACCACAGAAAATAAAATATTCAAACATTTATTTCTGACTATGGGAATCACATAGGAAATTGTTTAGATATTCTCTCTTTTAACTGTTAATGTGAAACCTTGAAGAAAATTACAGTGGGAAATGTCACTGAACAGATATCTCATAGTATTACACTGTGCACTTCATATTGTATGTTTTTTTTTTGTTTTGTTTTGTTTTATTCTACACACCTTTTTAAGATTTAGATCAGGCATCATCTCCCCAACGGGGCTTTTCTGAAACTCCTGTGATAGGTTAATCCTCCCATCACTTAACATAGTTTGTTGAAATTTCCTGTTTCTCTCATTAAACTGTAAACTCCTACCAGCCAGAGAAATAAAGTAATGAGTTTCACACACCCAGAGCATCTGTATAGGCACCCCCATATCTTCCAAAGCAAATGGGTGTTTATTGTTTATTCCCATATATTTGGAATTTTTTTTTCTGTTCACAGAACTTTACATTGGGTTTCTTTTTCCTTGTGAGCATGTTAGGAACCAGCATAAGTAATTAAAAATCTGGTTGGAAACAAATTTAGTTCTATTAAGTTTCCATTAGGTTTAATTTAGTGATATTAGCTGTTACTTAAACTCAAGTTTCTCACTGATTACTTTTTGGGCGATCAATCAGTTTGTCTTTGCTTCAAGCATTTTCATTGTTCCTTTACAAAATGAAAGAAAATGAAAACATCATCATCATCATCATCATAATGTATTGTACTATAAACTACATTTTATAGTATCTAAATAAGACCTTACCTGCCAAGGGTGGTGGGCACACAGCTGAAATAAAGCCACAGACATGAATATGCAAAAGTCTACCTTAGGAAACATTTGATTAAAATAAAAATAAATCCTTGGTAAAATATTGATCACTGGGCTGCTATTTCACCTCTTCTGCATGATCTGATCAGGAAGGAAGATTTTATATGTGATTTTGTTCTTCTAACAAATAAATAAAACTTATCTGATTCTTCAGTGGCAGCACATACATATTTGTACAGCCACACAGGAATATATTCATGCATTAATTGCAAGAGTATTTATTGCTATGTTACACTGTGTCATCTGTAGTTCTAGTTTATGGTAATGAATATGACAAAAATTTTTCTTCTCCTAGAGTTTATAACCCAACGGGAAAGACATAAAATAAATAAGTGAATAAACACATTTTAATAATTTTTATGTATTAAAATAATACAGATTGTTCTTCTGTGTTGGCTCTGCTATTACAATCTTTGTTTCATGATAAATAGGAGACATTTGGATAGTTATCTAAATCAGGATGAAATAACTATGCAAAAGCCTTTCTTACACATCTGCTATGTGCTCAACTGTAGATTACATATTATGCTATGTAGAAAATAAGTATTAGACATGAGTCGATCCCTCACAAAACTTATAATTTAATTAGACATCCTGATCTGTTTAATGCTTTCTTTAAAAAGAAGAGTTAAGAGTGACATTCTCATTGAATTTTAGTTTTACAAATCTAATAAGACTTTTTCAACCTTAGAAAAGCATGAAGTTTTAGGATTTGTTGTAAGATCATTATAAAATTACATAATACAGAAAATAGTTGTAGTGGTTTGGTGTATTAAGAAGATTCTAACAAGTTCAATGTTTTTATTTGTCTTATTTTGGTTTTGGAGGGTTTGGGGGAAACCTTCCTTTTCTTTTAGCTACACCTAGGCAATAACTCTGTGAGCAGAGAGAAAAAACAAAAACCAAAACAAAATGAGATGTGGTGATATTCAAGGGAATACCAGTAGCAAAATCCTACCTTATATTCAATATTTTAGTCCCATACTGGTCAGATCACTGAGTATGTGAACTCACATTTTACTTAGAACAATCCAGGAATGCTTGAACAGAAGCTAACTTTTACATAATGATGATAAAGATATTCATAGAGAAAATTAGAAAGTAATATATACAGTATGTTTGCAATATTTCAAAATATCTCAGAAAATTAACTGGCAGTTCAGAAATTTCTTTAAAGTCTGAGTCCCTCATACACCATATGGCCAGCCAGTTCTAAATAACCACACAGCTGCCTGCTTCTCTAGCAGTTGCTTCCCCCCCTAGCATTTGCTTCTGAGCAATCTTCAGGGGTAACTTACTGTAGCTTTGGATAGAGTGTTGCTATTTTTAGCGATGCTGATGGCAGAGATTAGTGAGGGAGAACAGAGGAAGCAGTGGTCTTATCTTTGAAAAGAGTGAGAAACAAACATATTATCTTCAAGAAAAAGGGTTTGAGAGGTTAGAGAAGATCAGACAAAAGCTGAACACACCCAGATAAGAAAGGGGAAACAGCAGGAAAGGTTTAAAGCAAATTTCTTGCCTACCTTCATTGTCCTTAAATGGAAATCACAAATAGAAATGTTGCAAATCAATTATGTTGTAATGACAGGTATTCTGGCATTTCTATTAATAAGCTTGGTTGAAAGTATGGAACGCAGTCTTAGAACATGCTGGTGACTATATATTAAAAATAAAGTGCTGTTTGGTGGAGTTTTATTTGAAAATGTGTTATAATTCTCTAGGCTAGCCTCTCTCTCTTTGATGTGCTAATATCATGTGCAGTTTCTATTTTATAATCTATCTTCTGTATTTGGTGATGGCTACTTCAGTAAATCCTTTCTGATTTCATGGCAATTTGATTTTCATCAACAATAAAATCAACTGAAAACCTTCAAAGTGCTGCTGCTGCCTGGTGGGTGTGAACCCTGTACCAATCATCCTTCTCTCATTTGGCTTCTGGGCTATGCCTCACATCAAACGGCACGGTTAGTCTCTCAAATCCTGAAGGAGCGAGGCCATGCTCACTGCTTGTCAGTCAGGCTGGGATCGGTTAGGTGGACTCCTGTTTCAACTTTTTAATATCCCCAACAACAAAGCAATCTGTAATCCCACAAAATCAAGAGTCCAGATACTCTGATTTTAATTTTAGCTGTGCCCCTAAGACACTGCACCAGAGATCAACGTTTGCTTCTCCGTTTTGCTCTGCAGGAGAGAGTGCCTAGCCCATTGTTACTTCCAACCAGAGAGAAAGGAATAAGCTTTTTTTTTTTTTTTTTAAGATTTTATTTATTTGTTTCACAGAGAGAGAGAGAGAGAAGTAGAGGGAGCAGCAGAGGGAGAGGGAGAAGCAGGCTCCTCGCCGAGCAGGGAGACCGATGCGGGGCTCCACCCCAGAACCCTGGGATCATGCTTGACCTGAGCTGAAGGCAGATGCTTAACCAACTGAGCCACCCAGGCACCCCGGAATAAATGTTATTTTTGTTTAAGTATCACTTGGGTTTGTGAAGGACAAAAAGAGTAGATGAGAAATTACAGATAAGTGGGAATTTATTTTTGATTTATTCACTGCATTCTTCTGTTTCTTGGATCTGCATGTTGAGAAATCAGAGTAACAGACTGAGCGGTCCCACCTGAAGGATAGCGCAGTAGCACATGCAATATGGGAACAATGCACTGCAAATACGTGTTTTGTGAGAAAACAAGGAAACTAGTTTCAATGATAGACCAACACAAGGGTGTTTCAACCTATGATCTATTTCAGCTCTAGGGGACCAAACAATGAAAATAGGTTAGAGTTGAAGAGTGAAATATATCATGATACTAGTGCGAAATAATCTCTTACATTAACATCTTCAACCCTCTTATGTACAGTTTGTCATTCATTGTAGTGGATGACAAAGAATGAAAAAGGAAAAAATGCCACAAACCTGTCTGGGCTCAGTTCTTCATAAACTTCAATGACAAAGCGTGAGGTGGCAATGTTTCATATGTTGTGAATCAAAGTTACGTGTTACCTTAAATCATTACTTTCCTCTAGTTTGATTTTATTTACAATTACACAAATTTATTTTGATTCTTGTCATTGAAGCCTGCTGTTAGAAAACTTTCAAGGACCTAATGTCTTGGCCATAAACCAAGGATACTGTACAAAAAAATATATCTTTTAAAGTTACTAGTGTAATAGTTTTTCCTTCATTGCCACTTGTCACTCATTATTTGGCCTGCACCCTTGTTTCCGATAAGAAGTGAAATGAGGGAATCGCGGAATCAAGATCTCTCACACCACAGTGCGGGAAATTTTTATTTATTAAGCTGTTAAATAGAATGTAGGAAGGGACATTTCTAGACATTTTACATTTTATAAGTCAGAATTGTAATAGTGTATTTCTTTTCTGCCACTGAGAAAG